AAAAAAAAAAAAAAAAAAAAAAAAAAAAAGAAAGGAAGAAAATAAAGCAAAGATTAATTTAAATTCTAATTTCTGCTATTGGTGGGACCATTTCAAATGTGGTCGGTAGCAGGTGGCCATGGTTAGTATTTCCTTCGGCACATCCAGTTTTCTTATGAATACATTATAAAGATAAAAATTCTTATGAAATTTTAAAATTTCACTTTTTTCTAGTTTTAAAAATGATTGCATTTTAAAAACAATGCATCACATTGATTTTTTTCTAAACAATAAAAATACAAAAATTGCATTGAATTATAATTTCTTCAAAGTTAAACCTGTATAAAATAATACACATCTGGAAGTCCACATTTATGGTATTGTGATATTCTTTAGGTGGTGATTAATAGTTAGCAACACTGGTTTAATGACCAGGGTCTTGTTGCAGAAGAAACATAGAAAAGAGCAAAGAGAATGAGAGAAAGACATAACATAAACCCATACGCTGTGTCTAATCAGCGTGACTACTGTGCCCACCCCAATGCAGTGCCACCCTATCTTGAAAGGTTTCTGAACGACAAGCTTACAGGCTGAGCAGGCCAGTGGTATTCAAAAGCAGAGCGCAGGATGGGTTGCAAATCTACCACCTACCGTCTTATTTTTATGGAAAAACACAAAATCTTTCTCTACATATGACTATGTATATATATATATATATATACACAAAAGCATCAGAAGCCTGGTTTGCTAATTCTAACATCAGGATGATTGAGTTACGTACCGAGGAAGGGGATGGTAGAGGTCATAAGGCATGATCTGCTTGTATCCGTCACTGTTAGGAACAATAATGCCAACCCTCTGAGTAGAAGGTACACACAATAAAATAAATACTAAATGATTACATCATTTAAATTTGTTATACAATTGCAAAACAACATTAATAAATCATCTCTGAAAAACAACAAACAGTTCAGTATCTTTATGCTTGTATATGCTCTAAGATGGGGCAAGTTCTCTGCAGGGCCACCATGTGCTGTGATTAATTCTCTGACCTGGGCAGGAAATACCATCAGAAAGGGTGGTGGCAGGAAAACTTGGCACTTTATTGTTAACGATGACACGCTAAGATTGTAAGTGTTCTTTAATCCCCCAAATTACCCATCCTATGAGGTCACCATCATCGTCAGCACCGTAATGTTACTTCCAGATGCCCACCAAGCAGCTGCAGTTTCTGTCTCACCCCCGGTGAAAGGGGAAGCCATCTGGGCACAGATCTGTGCCTGAGACTCAGCTACTCTGCTCTGTACGTCAGCAAATGGTTCCGTCTCTTGGCAGATCTGGAGATTTTTTTACTAATACCTGGAAAATAGCCACTTGTCTGTTTTATAAAAGTGGAGAGGAACTACCACATGTAGTAGGCAACTGTCAGCAAAAGCAGATTCTCTATAACAATAAAGTCATAGAAACTTTTCATAAGCATGAAAGACTTTTTGGCTGTAACTTGCTGTATGTTGTTGATTGTTACGTGGTGGTGGTTGTGACTGTCATGTCTGTTGTTAGAATTATCTAGCGCCCTTGGAAAGCTGTGAGGGTTAGGGATGGAGTAGAGGCTCAAGGGGCAATGCGGAATGATGTCACACTCTGTGTGGCTCTGGAACACACAAGAAATGACGTCACAGGTCGAGCAGGTCCTTGGGACTCCAGTGAACCTTTTCCACTGATGTCAGCGGAAGTCAACTGCTGGCAAGCCCGGGGTCTTGCCGAGGCCTGGTCCATGCAAGACTTGTGCACACACAGAAATCTTATTTTGCAACTGACAAGTGCTAGGGAGCCCTTTTTTTGAATACTGAAGGGACTTGTGTGTTATATCTGTATCTTTGGGTTGAATGGATGGGTATTTATTTATAAATCTGTATAATAATGTCCACATATTCAGTCTAAATGTTTACACTTATATTTAAATAAATAAGGCTTTCCTGTGACCTTATATTCTGGCAGAGGATGACATAATATACCCTTTTGATATGGTTAGCAAACCTCAGTGTTGGGTGCACGGTATGGGGTATGGGCACCTTGTGGATTAGGAAGACAAAAAGTGACTGGAGATCATGAAAGATAAGGCAGAGAGAGGGAAGGAGACAGAGGCCTTTACTGGTTCTGAGGAAATTACTGAAGGGTACGGAAATATCTGAGAGAAACTAAATTGTTTGAAGCAAAATAGAGAACAAAATTGGGAAAACAGACATTTATTCCCAGAAAGAAAAAGCATTAGAGAACTAATATGTTTATTTTACAAGACTAACTTTGTATTTATGTATAAGACTAAATATCTTACACTTAACTGTATAAGAAAATTTTCAATTGTGTGTGTGTGTGTATATTACTCTTATCTAACAATATTCATAACACTGAATACTGCCTCTGGGTGTTCTCAAAATCCCATAGATCTTTAACACAAAAAATTAAACGAATATTTCATTAAACTTGTGCCCTTGTTTCTGGAGTTAAATGTTAAATGTTCTATTCACTTCTGCCTTCTGACAGACAAGAAATTGCGTGAAAACATGATTCTGCCTTTTGTTGGAATCTTGTGATCTCCTTGTAATAATGATTACATTAGTAATTAGGGGACTATGTTTGGTAAAAGGACTGTATTTGAAAAAATGCCAGCTTCCTAAAGTTCTCTAATAACTTGGACCTACACAGTTATCTAACAGCAGTTAATTACGCTCGGAAAAAATCAGATTGACTTTGAAGTTATATTTTACCTGCCCTTAGCATCTGTATTCATTCCTATATCAATTTCTAAATGCAGAACTGAATCCACTGCCTTCGATTCTGAAAATATTTATGGCTATAATTTGTCATCTTCAATATTAAAGCCAACGTTTGCGGATCTCCGCCAGGTGATTTATCAGCCGATGATGGTTAGGATGGAGAAGGTGACGTTGAAGGAGATGAGTTGAACCAAAGAAAGGGACTAAACGGGAGTGCACAGAATTCAAGATGTTGGGCTTTGCGCTGGACTGACTTAGAAATGTTTTTGTTTGAAAAGGGAGCTTTAAACCTGGATTCAGCAAACACTGTAGCTATATTTGTCTTTCTGTGGCATGGGTCATGGTGAAGACTCATAAACTGACTACGGCACCTGTGAAAACAGAGATATCAGAACAGTGGAGCTCTGTCCTGCAAGGCGCATTCGCCTAGGGGCCCTGCCACAGCCAGCCTCTCACTACACCAGCACAGAAGGGCGGGCTCGCCCGAGCTCAGCTTCCTTTTGCTTCCTTTTAAGACACTTTGTTTTTTCTTAGATGAGTGCACATCATGGAGAAAGAAGAAAAAGGATCCAAGTTAGGGACTTGAATACATTTCCCCATATGCAGGTCTTACTCATGGTGTGCGTATTTGCACGCAGCATTCAGACACGCATCTGAGTACGTGGGAATCGGGGAAGGAGGAAAGTGATTTTCAGAAGTGGTTGGCAAGGGGAGATACGACAAACAACTGGGCTGCGGGTGGAATTACTCATCTCTGTGGCCCTAAGTCCCCTAACTGCTCACAGTTGGCACTGATGTGACCCCACCGAAAACTCTGACCATCAGAGGATTTGAAGGTGAGAAAAGAAGGTGAAGACGAAAAAAATGAGCACCCTGGAGTAGGAGGAGACACACTCCGGCTCCTCTCACAGTTCACAGTTTACTGGGCTGTCCTGTGACAGGAGAGCGCTTCACCGTTATGGGAGGTCCATATAATGAAAATTCGTTTCGAAGCACGTATACATAAAATGTTTGAGCCATGATCAATGAAACGGAAAATTCTCAGACGTAATGGCAATAGAAAATATTAAATACAAAAAGATGTACAGTATAACCCACAAAATTAAGAAAACGTGTATGCCTGTATATAATCTACATAATTGTGTAACTACATGGGTCACACACGTGTGCTCGTCACACGTGGTCAGAAAGACACATAGCACCTAACACCTCAGGGTATTTTTCCTTGCTTTTGAATATATTTTTTCTGTTTTCCAAGTTTTTAGATAATGCATTACCTTTAAGAATCACAGCAATTAGAATATTCAAATACAAAATTTTTCAAATAGAAAAGATCCAAGATAGTAATGTTTGGAACTATGGCATAATGGGATCGAAGGAGGCTGTCACCTCAAATTCCACACGGCCGTGTGATTTAGGGTCATTTTTCTGAGTGCTTACTCTCTGTGTGGAAATGATCTAAGATGCCCCTTTAGAGCTCTTAAAGAATCAAGCCCAAATTGGGGCCACGCCACGTCACCGTGGGATTCACATACTGCACGAATCTCTCTCTATGAGAAGAGCCCTATTAGGCATTAACTCTCCGAGGTTCTTCCTAGCACAGAGATGAACCATAGGACGCGCTCCCGACTCACTCCCGACTCCTCACTCCATGACTCTCACTCCTGACCTCCTGGCTGCTGGTCGTGCGTGCTCTGCTGCCCTCTCCTACCATCACTCCGGCTGTAGCGGTTGACTTGTCCAGCCAACCTCCTCACCACAGTCACAGAAACTGCTTATTTCTCAACTTCGGTGCTGCCCAGTGAAATTCACGTTCAAATGGTCCCTCTTCTGAAGTCTTGCTCGTTTCTTTTAACATCTAGCCAGAAACTCTCCCTGTTCTAAGCACCCATAGCACTACTTCTTCTTATTGCTCTAAGCTCTGTCTTAGCGGTGCACAGCCCTTTCATTAGTATAACACTGTGAGGCAGAACCCATCGGTCTTTACTGTTACATCAGGACAGGGCCCTGCATGAGGGCAACTAGGGGGATATTCTCTGAGTGATATCATGCCCTGGTGCACAGATGCAAAGGCAGGCACTGCAATGCCACTCAGTTTTCAAACAAAAGCAGAGTACACAAAACACAAGTTTAAGAGAGAATAGCAGGGAAAGCACTCCTGAACTGCCACGTGCTTGCAGTGTCCAGTCCCTCCCCTCACCGCCAGGACAGCCATCCGGAGGGTAGGAGGGTGAGCAGGAAGCCAGGGCGACTGGCTGGTGGAGGCAGAGAAAGGGCAGAATAACGACCATGGAAGTTCCAGCCTGCTCGGTTTAACGCTGAGCCTTTCCACCCGGCCTTTTCCGGAAGTGACCAGGAATGTCGCGTAGTGATTGCTTCCCTTTCTGCCTTGTGCGTCTAAGATACCATGCTGCTTTGTGACTGTGCAGCTCCGCGTGCTTTGAACGGGTTTGGGCCTAGATTCTAGTTGATTTGTCTTTGCCTTTGCCATGGTACCAAGCACAAAAGAGGGAACAGGGCAGGCAGCGAATTAAAAAGAAGAATGAAACGAAATGATGGGTAGTAGAAAGAGCTTCAGCATAGACAATGGTGTTTCAACTTCTGTAGAAAACTCCAGGGCAGTAGGAACTAACTTCTTCCTAAGTAGCATTTTAGAATGTTACTTAGCAGGAAAGCGCTAATGAAACATTGAAAAAAGATGAGGACTTTGCTCTCTCATGAGTGGCAGAGCACAGAGGGGTGCAGACCAATGAGGGAAGGGAAGGTGGCATGGCTTGGACCTGAGTGCCCCAGAGGCTCCTGTGCTGAGGCGGGGTCCCCAGCACTCAGAGGTGGGATCACAAGTCTCTGTCACCAGTGGGTCACCGTAGCTGGCTTCCTAATTTGATGGGCCGACGGTAGGTGACGGAGCATGACGGGCTGAAGGGAGAAAGGCCTTAGGACATGCCCCGGGCCCACGTCACGTCCCCAGCCCTTGCCTCTCCGGCTGGCCCTGGGACTGTCAGTCCCTGCTTCCCAGCTGTCGTGGTGAGCACTCTCCTCCTCCACACGCTTC